AAGTAATTGGTATACAGGCCTGGTCCGGTGTCTTGAGTCAGCTGTCTATCTCAGATGTCTTCTTCTCATCCTGGCCTGGTAGCTTTTTCTCCATTTCGGCATTGTTTTAAGGTGAGCAGTGCTCTATAGGCCACTGCACTGCAGGGGCTCTTTCTGATTGGAAATGAATCCGAAAGTCAGTTTCCTTCAGCTTTGCTGTGTATGGTCTAGTTAAGAGTACCTGATAAAGAGTCCTTCCATTCAGGTTGGAGACAGTTTTTTAAGTCATGCCTGTTCCAGTATGTATAATCCCCAGGCCGCAGGTCATGGGGCATTGGATCTTTACCCAAGGATATATTACTAAGCTTCAGAAAGAAACATACAGTGTCCTTTTAATAATTCAATTAAACTTTGCAGCAATGTAACATAACAGCAAGGAATGATCTGGGAAGTGTCTTACTAAATATATATCTCAATTAACAAAACTAGAATTTAATATCCACTAAAATATAATCTTTTGCTCTCTAAAGTTCCCTCATTTTTATCAAATATAGTCAAATCAAGGTTAATTTGTTTACAAGTTAAGTCTGATTATTTGATCATATAGGCTTTTTTAAATTGGCTGTGTTGGAACTTTTAATAAGGACTTTTAAGGTAGAATGTTAATAAGTTTTCTAAGGCCAGGAAAGCCCCATAAAGGGCTTGTCATAGATTTCTGCCTAACAGATTTAGGTAAATTCTTTTCTTTTTGAAGTCCTTAAAATGCCTTGAGATTCCTATACCTGTTAGGAGACCATCTTCCTAATTTATCTGATAGAGCCACTGGGGACCTAAAAGTTTTTAGTCTCTTGAGGGATCAGATAGAGAGAAAAGATAACTGTTCTAAGTCTGCTTACATAGGTATAATTTATCAACTTGCCGTGAATCATAACTAGTTTAAGGAGAAGAGTTTCTTTATGTCTTGGAAACAGCTTAAAAGCCAGTAGTAGTTCAGACAAAATCAAAAATTATAACCATATTCACCAGTTTACTCAGTCCCATGTAACTAATTCTTTTAATCAGAGTTTTCATTAGACCTTTAAAATTTCTTACCCAGTTTATTTCAGTGCTATAGTTTGAAATTTATTAGAAATCAGTAAATCTCCTTGAAGAGAGAGCATTTTGCAAAATCATAAGAAGAAAACAATTACCTGCCTATAAATGACAACAGATTTAACAGCATGGTTAAA